GGAGGGAATCCCTGGCTCTGTCCACTCCCCCTTACAGCCCATGAAACCTGGATCGAGCTCTTTGACCTTTCCCAGCCTCTGTTTCCACACCTATAGAACGAATTCATATCGTCTCCAAAACGCCTCATGGCCGGGCTCCGCGGCTCAGCCTGTAATCCCAGCACTTTGGGAGGCCGAGGCAAGGGGATTGCCTGAGCCCGCGGGTTCGAGACCAGCCCGAGCAACTTGGAGAGACCTCGTCTCTACAAAAAATTAGCCAGGCGTGGTGGCGCACGCCTGTAGTTGGAAGGCCGAGGCGGATGGATGGCTGGAGCCCAGCGGGTCGAGGCTGCGGTGGCCGTGAGCGTGCCACTGCACTCCAGCCTGGGCAATGGAGTGGGATTCTAACTAAAAAATAAAAATAAAAAAACCTCAACACTCAAGGCTCTGATGAGACAACGCAGGTAAGTGCTTTGAAGGTCAAGGTGAAGAAAGCCCTTTCTCCAAGTATGGTCTGGGTCAGGTCATCTGCATTAGAATCACGTGGGGGGTGGCTACCAGAAGGAGAAGGGGATAGTTAACTTTGCAACTTCCTGGCCCTAATCCACAGCACAGAATTGCAACCCTGGTGGGAGGTCAGGTTCCAAATCTGGATTTTATTTTTTGTTTTTTCGAGTTGGACTCTGACTCTGTCGCTCACGGCCACTGCAGCCTCAACCTGCTGGGCTCTGGTAATCCTTCCCCCTCAGCCTTCCAAGGAACTGGAACCACAGGATAAGCCATCACGCCCAACTGATTTTTTAGTCTCTCCCAGTTGCCCAGGCTGGTCTCGAACCCGTGGGCCCAGGCAATCCTCCTACCTCATCCTCCCAAAGTGTGGAATTATAGGCGTGAGCCACCAGACCCGGCCCAAATCTGGATTTTAAACGGTACCTCCAAATTGTTCACGTGCACCCGTGTTTGAGAACCACTATCAGCAAGCACGATAGTCGCTTCTGGGAACTGCTGACGATACCTGGGACCCAGCAATACGAGATCGGGTGCCAGTCTGAAAAAAGCCACAAGCTAGTAGGGGGATCAGATATCCCCCTATTAGGATGTCAATTACACAAGGCAATGCACTCAGGGTGCGTTGTTTTATATTTGGGAGGCAAAGGTGAGAGAATTGCCTGAGCCCAGGAGTTCAAGACGAGCCTGGGCAACATACATGGTAAGACCTTGTCTCTTAAAAAAAAATTATAATTTTTTTAAATTTTTATTTTTTATTTTTTATTTTTTTTTAGTTGGAGTCTCACTCTGTCACCCAGACTGGAGTGCAGTGGCCGCTTCC